TCAAAGAAAACCAACTGTTCCAATTACTAAACTGGACTATATAACTCTTTATATAACTGTTTCCAAATACTATAGCCTTAATTTACATTGCATTAAAAAGATAGTACAATCTTTGAAAGATATGATCATAGCCTTAAAACTTTCTAAACAATTTTGAAACGTGAAAAATTTCTGTAATTTGCAGTGACATAAAATTTATTATAATTAATAATATCACATAAATACCTATTATTATAATTTTACTTCAAAAATTATAAAATTATAATGATAGGTATACAATGATGGTGTTTATTAATTATTGTAATTCCTCATACATGTATATTCATTCTTTTCATTTAAAACGAAAACTATATTTAATGAAATGCAAGTTTTCCCTAAAAAGGTATTTTACTAGTTTGTTAAATAAAAACGAACTTACCTCATGTACTGGAGCCATGTATGTGTATGTGTTTAAAGAACTAAAATGAAAAATATATTACTAAATTACTTTTTTATTCAACATCGGACTTCTACTTAATAAAAATATTTTTCCTCAAAAATACTTTCAGCGAATGCGTTAAATAAAGAAGAGCAACTAGATTCCTTTAAAATCATTATTCTTTCCTGGAACTATGTTGCTTAATTCTAGATTAAACTTCAATTACCACTAAGGAAACGAGTTTCAGCATTTTTCGATCAACGAAAATGCTTCTAACATTCTATCAAAGCAGCCTTTACTCCAAAGGAAATTTCATTAACTCACTACTTCAATAGAAACTAATTTTAAGTCATTATATGAGATCACCAACTGGAAAAAAGGCTAGTGAATTTAATTACAATTTAAATTATTTTGTTTTTCGAAAAGGAGCATGGAGTATAACGGTTTCAAAATACTCTAGTCTTAATATATTTTGCATTAAAAAATAATGCAATCCTGGAAATACGGATTAATACGGAAATCATATTTGATGAAATTACTTTTTTTTAAAATGAATTTTACGAGTTTATTAAATAAAAAAGAATATTTAGATTATGAATTGTGACTTACGTCATGTACTGAAGTCATGACTGCGCATCTGTTTAAAGAGATAAGTGGAAAAATTTATATCTGAATTCCTTTTTTTTAATACTAGATAGGAATTCTTTTTGATAAAACTACTTTTCTTCAAAAATACGTTTAACGAATGCGTTAAATAAGGAAGAGCAACTAGATTCGTTTAAAATCAATATCCTTTCCTGGAACTGTGTTCCTTAATTCTAGATTAAACTTCAATTACCATTCAGGAAACGAATTTCAGTATTTTTCGATCAAAGAAAATGCTTCTAACGTTCTACTAATGCAGCCTTTACTCCGAAGGAAATTTCATTAGCGCGCTGTTTCAATTGAAACTAATTTTGAGTCATTATATAAGGTCATCAATAGAAAAAAAGGTCATTGCGTTAAACTTGGAATTAGATAAACATCTTGTCGCTGGAAAGAAAGAAATTGATCTAGCTTTTAGATGTTAATTTTCTTTCCTATTCGAAAGACTCTTGGATAAATTAGCAACTTATTTTTGTTAAAAAAAATACGAGATATTTTAAGAAAAGTCTGTTCAAAAACTTAAATTTATTCCATGAAAAAAAAAGAGATGGACTTCTTACATAAATAATAGAAACTTTGTACAAGCTTTTTTGAAGAGAAATATATAGATCACTCTTCAGAGACTGGTATAATTGTTTTTGCATTAGGCCATTTTTCAGAAAAGAGATATAACATAACTTTATAATTAAAATAACTTTAGAATTAACATAACTTTATAATTAAAGTAGTTCATCTGCCTGGGCTAATTTATCTAACACTAATAAGGAAGTTACCTGCAGTGTTAATAGACAATAGAGATAATTTATTGTAAAAATATAGTTTTTGAGTTTCTGAAACCATGTAAAAATTTTTTTTTGTCTATTTCGAGAAAATTATTAAGTTAAGAATAAAACCAAACAATGTGAACAAAACAAAAATAATGCACAAAAACGGACATATGTATCACAAATATACTTCATTCAATGTATCTTCATTTGCATATTGAATTATGAATAATCGAAAACTACAATTTTTACCTTGAATACGTTAATCAATTATCCTTGAATGCAAAATCAATTATTTAATTTTCATCCATTTTATTAAAAGTGATTTTTTAAAAAAAATCAATGTACCGGCAAACTTTTTAATTCGATATAAGTGTATAACTCATTAAGTGTAGCAACTTCGAGTATCAAAATATATTTTGAACTTCATTTTTCTTTGAGCTACTTTACTTCTCTAACCCCAAATATGTCACGGTTATTATAATAAATTTTAATGGTCTTTTTGAGGTGATTAAGCTGAAGCCAGATTATTTAAAACCTAGTTCTAATGAAGTGGAGTTGGCTTCATTTTAGCTATATTGGCTATATTATCTGTCAATAACTCACCAAATTTTAAATCTCCTCCCATGCTTCTATGTGTCCGTGACCAACTATGCATTTACCGGTAATTTGAATTTCTTGGCATAACATCTGGGGGAAGGCTTGGATGTCCAATGGCCTCTCAGTCCAAGTGTTGAAAGTGCTGCAAAATTGTAATACAAAATCAATGCCTAAAAAAACTTCCCTCTCCTCTGCAAAAGAAATGCTTTATATTTTCGTTCTTCAATATAATATGTTTTTAGAAGTTATGAATGTGGCCATATCTGTTAATTTTAGAAATGCTGCCCAATAAAGAAGGATGATTCTCTTTGTTTGATCATATCTTTGCAGTATTCCTGCTTAAAACATTGGCAACGGCGATGTATAATGCAAAATAATAATAATAATAATTATACAAGGACCCTTTTGATCTAATGATCGGATCTTCGCTTTCTAGGACTCAATCCTACCGTTTCGAGGGAGTGACCTCAACCATATGCTAATTAATTAGCACAGATGATATTTTAAGTTACTAAATCAGACACAAATATGTTCTAAACATAAACTTTTTTTGACGGATATCGATTTCTGACTCCGAAATATAGTAGGTAGCCGCAATCTGGGAAATATGGTCCCCATAGTTTTGTCAGGAGAGCTGTCCAAAGTTTGGACCTCTTAATGTTAATTTTAGTTTTTGCTTTTTTCGCTATATCTCGAGAGCTTTATAAGCTAATTGAAAAATTTACTCACACAAATATGAAATTTGTTTATCTTAAGATAATTCCATGATTAATAATCCATGATTATTAAATGATTGAATAATTTTGCTAAAGTCGTATTTTTTAAAGTCGATTTCTAAGGAACTATTTGACCGATGCTGCTCAAATTTTGTATTTTGCCACGTAAAAATACATTCTTTAATATGATGTAAGAAATTGTATACCTTAATATTCAAAATTTTAACGACCAATATAAATAAAATATTAAATACTCACTAAAATTTATATTTTGCAATTTTAATTATATTACTTTTTTAAAATTTGCTTTTTTCATAGATTATCTGATTTCCCTCAAATTTTTTATTTTGTGAAGCTGAAATAAATTCTTTAAAATTATGTGAAAAGTTGTATAACTTACAATAAAATTGTTTTCGACTAAAATAATAAAAATTGTAAATATTTACTTAAAGTTCTTTTTTGCACCTTTGTTTAGATTAAATTTGCAATTGCGTTCAAAAATCTTTCAATTTGCGTGAAAAGTTCTCGAGCTATGACAAAATACGCAAATAGTAAAATTTACAATAAGCGGTCAATACATTTGATCACTCTTCTGATCAAACTATGTGGACCATATTTCCCACATTCTAGCTTCCCTTTGTACTTGGGGTGTCAAAAATCCGAATCCATCAGTCATAAAAAGTATAGTTCAGTGATTGATTTTGTAACTTAAAATACAACACTACTTTACAACACTACTTAATCAGCCTGACTGAGATCACCCCTTCGATTCCTTTAAGATGGAGTCCTAGAATATGAAGATCCGATCATTAGAATAAAAGTTATTCAGAGTGGTCAGCTGTTTTGCGCACTGCGAGTAGATATTAACTTAATAATGTTTGGCGAACAGCTGATGTTTGAACCTATTGAGATATTTTAAAATTTGCTTTATTTTATACTTAAAAAAATATTCTTGTTTTTTATCAAGTTATAATATGAGGGTATAGAGCATTCGCCTTCCAATGAGGTGAATGGGGTCGAATCACAGCCATGGCTGGTCGATACAAATTTCGCACCAGGCTCGCACCGACCACAGTGCTGATGTAAAATATCCTCAGTGGTAGACGGATTCGTGTTTTTTTCTCTCCATGTAGTGCATATGCTGGTCAGTTCCATCAAAAAGTCCCCCACGAAGGCACATTTCTCCTGATACTTGAACCTGTTGTTTTCTTGTCTTCTGGATTGGGTTCGAAATAACAAGTCTTCGGAGTTGAACATTAGTTGTAGTAAATCCAAAATCGGGTTGACTGTTCAACGAATGTCATAAAATAAAACAAAATTGTAATATGAGATAGATAATGATCTCTTTTTCAAAACTAATTTTTAACTGCGATATTACCATACTATTTTATACTATACTATTATATATTTATAGATGTTACACATAATTTTGAGCTTCCTCAATTAAGTTACCAGAAATTTTGATTCCTTTTAAATTTCTTTTCTTCATTTTTATTATAAAAGCTTTATTATTTTACTGTGCAGAAAATTTCACTTCTTTGAATTTTACAAAAAAATAATGATTAATTTCAATGATTCCATAAAATAAATGAAAATCTTCATTTTTCAAGAGATTAAAAAGAAATCACAAAAAAAAATTTCAATGAAAAAAATAAATAAATCTTTCATGCGTAGTAATCTATTCTTTTTCGTCTAAATCTGAATTCTCGAAGAATAGTTCCTCGTAATTTTTGCTTGTTTGAAAATTTCAGATGTTATTGTGATGAAAACTGCTTAACATTTTTAGATAAGATATTAGTAACCTCCATGAATAGGAGGCTTGACCTCTATTTGGCAGTATATATTGAAAGAAAACAACAGCGAACGTCATATTTTTAAACTTTTGCAGCTTGTGTGACGTTCAACCAAGGTCTGTCAAAATAATTTGGTGATTACCCTTTAATCGTGCAACCCAATAATAGTTGCATAAAAGTAGATGAACAGCATCCTGTCAACTCAGATTTCAATTAAAATTTCTTCATAAAAGGAGTCTTTTTTCCGTAGTTATTCACAGACCTTACAACGCCATTAAAAGAGGCGTAAGTATATTGAGTAGATATGTTTTTATATTATAAATGTTATTATAAATGTTTTTGTATTGTTTAAGCAATTCTGAAAGACAACTTTCGAAATGATAAAAAAAATTACCTTTCTTAAGAGAATAGAGCAGATAAAGTAATTATTAATAAGGAAATATATATATATCTGAAAGTTTCACGAAGATTCATAAGCAAAATAAATATTTTAGGGCATGTAGCGAGATTAGATAATTGATGATTTAGTAAACGATTATTTGAATTATTTAATTGTTATATAATAATTGTAATATTGTTATTTAATTCTTATATACTTACAATTGTTTGTAAGTACAAAAAAAAAAGAAAATTGAATTGAGTTTGTTTGAATGTTGATCTTAACTTTGATTTTATTGATACAATTTTATAATAATATACGCGGAGGAGAATTTCTAGTGAAATTATGCTACTGCATGCTAGTGACATTTCTGGTAAAAACAATCATAATTCTTGTTAATAAAACCAAAATATAAGATATTTAATCTATTAATTTAGTAATTTTTCAGTTCATATAGTAACGGTTTACCGGAAATTCTAGCTTTCAAAGTTTTAGTTCTTATTACCAAACATTTAATCAAAAATACGAAACTGAAAATTAAATTTAACCAAATAAATGGCTATGCCATGATCTAAAGTATCATGCTAAACTTACCAAATTTTATCTCATTAAATAACCGTATTTCATTGTTAATTTTATCTAAATCATTATCAAGGTGCTTCGGTAAAAAGTACGTTGTCTTTTTGGTGTTCCTATAGAGGCGGAAAAATGGTAAATTAAATCATATTCTGCTGGTTTTGACCATACATTTTTCTCAGTGTACGTTGAGAGTATACTATATTTGATAAATTAACCATTGCATAGTCTAATATATACTTATATGTAATTTATCAGTCAGTTAAATATTTTTCACAATGTTAGAGTTGTTATTATATTTTTAAGCTTTATAAATGCCCTTACTTCGCACCAAAAATCAAAACTTTTTTTTAAAAAAAACTTTAAATTGACCAACCCAATGCACATCTATTGTAATAATTTCGATGATGATTATCTTTAGCGAATACTGACATCATTTCCTTTGATAGGTATAATTTCGTACTGTTTTAAACTATTTCAATAATTTATATAAAATCCTGTCTTGGAAGCGTTTGTGAAAATATAATAATAAACCGGAATCTCAAAATTTTCAATACTGCTTATGGTTTGAATCACAGCGATACTCGTGTAAGCAATAAGATTTTTCTCTGTCCTTTGTTGTAATCTAGTAGAAATTTTAAGGAATTTGAAGAGTACCTATTTGGAAACAACCTTAAGGAATAGTTTGAAGGTAAAATGTCCACTTTGAAAGAAGTGTGATTTTTCACAATATTGCCTCAAGTACTAGTATTTTCTATGCGTGCGATATTGTATTTTCTTAAATTTTTTTCAACACTGAATTCAATTGTAATTGTTTAATTGCAACTATTTCACAATTTATTTGTCAATTTCATATATATTCATCATGTATAATCAGATGCCATATTCAGATCCTAATTGAGACGTCCCATATACCTTATTTATTATCTTAAATCCAATTAGATATTTCAAAGCTTTTAAGGATGTTAAAACCCGATCATTCGTTAAAAGGTGTTCAACTTCATAAAGCACTGTTGATAGGAATGTTTTTGTTTAGTTCATTGTTAAATGTTTATTAACTATATTATAATTTAATTTTCTAAATACTTTATTTTATTTTAAATGAAATGAACCATGTCTTTTTAAAAATAAATAAAGTTACCTCGAAATATCTTTTCATATGTATATCGAAATAATTTTTGTTCTACGACAATTACTGGGGCCTAAAACCATCATGACTTTTTTAAAAGATGGGACTGTAATCTTCCACAAATTAAAAGAAAATTAATATGATCTTTGAAATTTTCGAAAATCCGCATAATATCCTCTAAGTCTCGAGAAATATATTACTTTATTATAAATTTAAATAGATTTTGCTTTCGTAGGGTTGTAGTCAAATGATAACAAAAATAAAAACAAAAATAATATTTTGAGACTACTAAGATTATAAATACAAATGAATATAATAAATTAACAATGCAATAAGGTAAACATAATTTAATGGCATTGTAGAATTATTTCCAGTTAAATAGATATACTTACTGTTTATATTTTCTTAACATATTTTATTTTTCATATTTTTACAGCTGAAGTAAAGTGTTTAGAAAAAAACTTCAAATTTATGAATTTTCATTAATTATAGAAACAAACGCCATTTTTTGGTTTACCTTTAAACGTTATGAACTAAAACAACTTTTTTTCATGAATTAGTTCAGTATTTAAATAACTCATTAAATCACTAATTTTGTTCAACTAATCATTTTTTTACCATAGTAGCTTGGAAGTTTAATTTATTTTTAAAAACTACTCATTTTACCCTTAAAAGGTAACTTTCATCTGATATAAATAATATTTTATGGTTATTTAAATGAAATTGGGCAATGTTGTCATAGTCATACAGTTGACAAACAATAATTTTCGCTCCGGGTGGTAAAAAGTAATTCCTTATATTGCTTTTGTATTAAAGCAGAGAAATTGATGAGATATGATGAAAATATAAGGAGATCATTTTCATTGTTGTCAAAGAAACTATTACTTTTTGCTTTTGTAAAATTATGAATATGGCCACACTTAAAAGCTGATAAAATATCATGTTAGTAGGTCAACAGGAAATCCTTTTTAAAGAAACGAAGACAGTTTTTAAGCGTACATTTTTATAAAATTTTGCACATTTTTTTTTGAATCATCAAACCCCTCCCTTCTCCAGTTCTATTGCCAACGAATTCAAATTACAAGTGCATGCGTACTTGCTAAAAATACCGAAAATACTGTTACAATTTAATATACCTCTATAACAGAAACATTTTTGTGGTTAAAGAATAAAAGAGGTTAAATAAAAACAAAGTTAAAATTAGATTTTGATATTCGATCCGTCTCGACACTGAATTAATGTTATATACTTGTATTAAAAAAAACGTTAGCCGTTACATTGATTGTTGGGAAAAAATTAAAAGTACTTATATTCGCTTTGCGTAAAATAAGATATAGATTTAATTTACTTATGAAAGCATTAGAAGTAATTAAAAAATATGTTTATGAATTTAATGATATTAAAGAAGTTTAAAAGCTAGAAATTAACAGTTTTAACTAAAAAAGTTGCTCTTGCTTTTATTTGTCAAAACTCCGGCCATCTTTTTATTGAATTTTTTATTTAAAAGGAACAGACCATACCGTTACTTTTAGAGTAATTCAGTTAGAATATAATTTTTTTAAAATAGGAATCAGAAGATACAGGCAAATATGGCAGGAAGCACGATGATACAAGATCTTGATTAACGCTAATAATGAATTTAGCTAGTGTCAAACAAAATGTCTGCACATATTTGTTGAAAGATTGTCTCCATTGCATGTGCGATCATAAACTGTTATATGAAATATACTTAATTTAACAAAAGCCTTTTCAGTATCTAGTGAAAAATGTAACGCATGTCAATAAGATCATAAGACGCTTCTTCCTGACCCTTGAACCTTATCTTCTCAATATCTTCACATGTCAACATCTTTTAAAACCAGAAGCTATTTCCTTTTTTTTCTTCCTTTGGGAAGCTTAGGTTACCATCACGTCTCAAGTGGAAAAAAAAAGAAAATAACAAATCAAAAAAAGAAAATAACAAATCAACAAACTTTTCAGATGGTTTGATAAATGCCTGTTATTAAAAAAGGCAAGTTCGTTGACTGAAATCAGTAGGAATATTCTGGTGCATTTCATAGGTTTCATATAGATACTTAATAGCTGTGTGTAAATTGAAATAATAATTATGGTTAGGATCTAACAATTCTTATTTATTATTTACAGATTGAAACGTTGTTTTGAAAGATTGTGAAAATGAAGGCGATATTTGTTATATTATCATCAGTTTTTGCTGCTCTGCTGTGCTCGAGCATTTCCTATGCGTAAGTAAAAAACAATGTATTTCTTGGCGTTCAAATCGATAAAAGTGTTTAAAAAAATATTTAAATCTTATATTATATTAATTAATTATAATTAAATCTTTATAGTATAATGATTGTTTTTCAAAGAAAATATAACATGACATTAAAATTAATTCATTCATCAGAATATTTCTATATTGCTTTGTTAATATGATTACAATTTGAATAAATATTTATAGTTTATTGAATAAATATAAATATTCATAGTTTATTTATAGTTTAATATATATATATAT